GGGATGCCGGCAGGCAAGCCGGGTGGGGTATAGTGGGGAGGGGGGAGACGCAGGGGTCAGAAACCAGGGGTGAGAGCCTCCTGTCCCGTGGCCTGAGCAGCGGCAGTTCTCACCAGGGTCTGGCGGGCTGGGATCCAATTCTACCACCTCGATAATCTCTTCATCACCGTGGAAGCTTAGAGTCTCCAGCGGGGGGGTGTCAGCGGCGGCCCCGCTGTCCGATTCGGACTCCATGCGGCGCAAGCGGCCGAACCACTTCTCAGGGCCCAAACGCCTCCCAGAGTCAGCTCTGCGCGACGACGCGGAACTCGAGCCCCTCCTCCCGGGAGGAAGTAGGTGTAGGCGACTCCCCGGCCGGAAGAGCGACGGCCGCCCGACCAATGGTCATAAGGGTTGTGTGGCAGCATAACCAATCACAGCGCAAAATAGGGAGAGGGGGGCCGGGGCGTGGCGGGGAGAGCCCAAACTCCGCCCGGCCTGACTCCGCCCCCAACAGGAGGGAAACAAGCGAGCGTGCGCGCCTCCGGGGTCTCCTGGGAAGAGTAGTTGTCCTGGGCCAGCTCCCTCACGCTTCTGGGAAATGTAGTTTCTGGTCTGTAGGCAAGACGGAACGAGCGGGGGAGGCCCCTTACGCAAACTACAATTCCCGGCGGGGAGCGCGCTGATGAGGGGCGGGATCTGAACATGGCGGCGGTGGTAGCTGCTACGGCGCTGAAGGGCCGGGGGGCGAGAAATGCCCGCGTCCTCCGGGGTAAGGAGAGGGACCCCGGGGAGGGCAAAACTACAGGAGCTCTTTTGTCTATCATATCTGCCCGGTTACAGCGGAAAGGCAGGGCTGCCAGTTCCTGCCCACACCTCTCTTCAAAATCTTAAGAGTCTGGGGGTGAAAGATGCTCTATAGAGGTCACCCCGTCCATTCTTTCGGCTTATACGACACTTCTGGGATTCCAATGCAAGTAGGAGCCGTGAGACGGTTTTTAGACTCCTGCGCTCCAAATGTTTCACACACCGCAGTGCAGCGAGAAGAGCCCTTGGCTTCTGAAGGCTTGAGTTCTAGCCCTGGGTAATTATCAGTTTGACCTTGGACGAAGCAGTTTACCTCTCAGTACTTATGTTTCCTCTTCTTTAACAAGAAGGGATGTACTAGACTGCCTTTAAGCTCCCTTCCCGTGCCAGCGTCCTGCAGTTTAAAAACCTTTCCCGGATTTCCTTCGTAAGTCTTATGTGAGTCCCTCTGCAGTCCTTCCCATCCTATCTTCTGAAACGAAGAACAGCAGCCAAGCTTGCTCTCCTGGAACCAGGGTGGTGAGCCCACAATGACGTGGAAGTGGCTTCCAAAGGTGTCACCTCGATGGCAATTTTCCTATTTCCCTATGGATTCTCCCTAGCACTTGTTACTCCAAACTGCAGTAACACCCTTCCTTGCTGCTCCTCCCCAGCCCTTACCCACCTCCTACTGACTTTCTCATCCCTCTTACTGACCTTCCTTACCTCCTCCATCCACAGGGATCCTCTCAGGAGCCACAGCTAACAAGGCTTCTCAGAACAGGACCAGAGCATTGCAGAGCCACAGCTCCCCCGAGAACAAGGAGGAACCTGAGCCCCTATCCCCTGAGCTGGAGTACATCCCTAGAAAGAGGGCGCGGAACCCCATGAAAGCTGTGGGACTAGCCTGGTGAGTTTTGACTATCCCTTTTTCCACCAATAGAGGGATACACCCAAGGGTGGGCAGGATCCTTAAACTTCTCAGAGTTTAAGGTGGTGAACCCAATCCAACGTTGTGGGAACAGTAGTGTTGGGTTCAAAGACTGAAATCTCAGAGGAGTAGGGAAGGGGAGGTCAGAAAATTTGTGGAATTGGGGAGCCTGGGTTCTCTGTTGGGTGAGCTGATCTTGTCTGATTCAAATTTGGTCCCTTGCCTCATCTTCCCTTTTGGGAGCTTTGGGTGAGGCCTAAGTCCCAGTAAATAGTTAATTGAGATCATATGAAGTTGTATTAGTTGTGTGATAGCTAGAAATTGTTCTGTACATTGTTGTTTGGTTCTGGTTCTGGCCTTAACACATATTACTGATCAATATTAAAGGAAAAGGAGGCAGTACTTTACCATGTACAGCAATGTTTTAGACTTTCTGAGACAAATACACCCTTATTTCACAGAGGAGGGAAGTGAGGCTCAGAGGTAGAATTCACAGTGGGTCTTCTGATTCTGTGCTCTTTCTGCCACACCAAGACTATCACTAATAAGTTACTCCAATTAAAAAGAAGAAAAATCCAGGCACAGTGGTGCCTGTCCATAATCCCAGCACTCCAGAGGCTGAGGCAAGAGGATCATGAGTTCAAGGCCAGGCTGGGCTACATCATCGTCATCGCATGGCTTTATCTCAAAAGGAGGGTAGGGGGTATAGCTCAGTAGGGAACACATGATTAGCATGCAGAAAATGCTGGATGCATTCTGCATCGAGAAAAACTATAGAGAAGAGTGTAGTCTGGGAAGGGATATGGAGCCTTCCCTTCAGGTAGATGGACCATTACTCAGACTCATAGAAGGAAAGCGGCTGGTCTGCCTAGAGAATTGTGCACAGGCCATACTGGGCCTTTTGTGCCATGCCTAGGAGTTTGCACTCAGCCAGGAAAGGATGGACAGCCGTTAGGATCCTTAAGTGGGACAATAGCAGGATCTGATTTGCCTGGGTCCCTCCAGGAACCAGCAAGGAGGACTAGTAGTTAAGAGGTGTCTCAACATTTGCACAGTTGGCAAAGATAGAATGATTTCCCCCAGCTCCTCTGGCTCAAGCTCGGCCCCTGCCCAAACCCCATGCGCATCTCCCACCCCTAGGGCCATCGGCTTCCCCTGTGGTATCCTCCTCTTCATCCTCACCAAGCAGGAAGTGGACAAGGACCGTTTGAAGCAGATGAAGGCTCGTCAGAACATGCGGGCGTCCAACACGGGCGAGTATGAGAGCCAGAGGTTCAGGGCCTCCTAATGTGCCCCATCCACAAAAGTTGGGTCTGGCGTGCAAGCCTGAGAAGCACTGCCACCTCCCCTAGACTGCATTTTGACTGTGAAGTCCTCCACTTTGGCCAATTCTGGTCTGTCTTTTTGCGAGCCACCAGAGGGCACCCAAAGCCCAGGCTGCTGCCAGCTCCCGCCCCTCCCACATGGAGGAGCCAGCCCTAAGCAAATAAAGTTATTGACTGTTTGAGTGGAAAGGAAACAGATGCGATTTCTGAGTACCTGGGGAGGGGAAGAGCAATGGGTGGGGACAGTTACTCATTCCTGCTTCTCTCACAAAAGAGCAGTGTTCCTGCTGGATGGTGGGGCAACTGCAGACAAATTCAGCAAGCCTAGGCTGGATCTAGGAACCAAGCCCTCAGAGCTGCTTGCCAGGAGGGTGGGGTTCCAGTCAGCCTTGAAACAAGTAATAGGGGGGCCAGGGATGTAGCTCAGTGGCACCACGCCTGCCTGGCAAGCACAAGGTCTGAGTTCAATTCCCCATACCAAAAAAAAGAAACAAGTAGTAGAATCAAAGGCAGCATTCAGGATGTGGAGGCAAAAATACTTAGCTGAGTCCAAACAACCCAACCTCTTTGGGCTTCAGTTTCTTTGTTCATAAATGATTGGACTAGTGATTCCTGAGATTCTGAATTTCTGGCCTATCCCTTCCTCCACTGGCAAAATTATATATATATACATACAGCTTCCCTACCTTTCCCCTGAAATTGGGACTGAACCCAGGGCCTTCACATTGAGATACAGCCCAGCTTTTTTT